GTTGCCAAAAACAATTTAAGAAAATATATTTAATTATTTACTTACATTATTTTTTACGTAGTTAAAATGACTAAGTATTTGATTTGATAATTTGAAATATTATCAACATATTATTTTCAACCTTTTCCCATATAAGAAGGTGTCCAAACATTACCAAATAGGTAAAGGTACTACAGTAGCAAAATGTATATTTATAAACAGAAATAAAAATAAGAATAAGAAACGAAACACACAAATTTAAAGTGCGTAACACAAAAAAAATATCTTTATGCTTTTTTATTCTTTTTGTGCTCTTGATTTTGATTTTGATATATTTTATTGTTTTAAATTATATTGTTAATGAAGTTTGTATCGGTACTGTATAAATTCCTTGACACTTTGTAGAATATTAAATTGTTATTCAGTTATAGTAATTGTAACCAGTTCAGATTAAATTGTATATATATATATATATATGTTTATAGTGTTTTATAAGTTTACTCTTTTTTTTTACGCAGTCTATCCAACTTTTTTTGGTCAAAGATGAAGGAATCAAGTATTCAAGTAAGTAAGTAAGTATATTTTTGTATTTTCTTTCCACAATTAAAATGTATAGGCCTAATAGACGATTTAGTACTCATTGTGTGTATTTATTTCTCAATTTAAGTACCTGTATTCCAAACTTTGTTACAAAATCCTAAATTTGTGTTAGCGAATTTCCCCTATAGGGAATAAGCTATTACCGTAGTACTCATGGTAAGACCTGGACCCGGGACCGATTTACTTTTTCGTTTTGAGGTCCCTAGATGCCAAAAACACCATCCGTTCAAATTCATAAATTTGATGAAATTTGGTACACGCGTGTAAACCTACGTTTCGAACCAGCATGATCGAACCAAGGGAACGGGGGTTTATGGGGGGTTTTATGGGGTAAAAATTGGGTTTTCCCATTTTTGACACTAAAAACTTAAAATTTCGCAATTTCTTTATAAACCATTTTGTAGAGCTTAAAAACAAATAATTTAGTATATTGAAGCGTTAATTATGCGCCTAATGGTTACGGAGAAAATTCCGAAAATCTGTAAATTTAAAATTTCCATGTTATACTTAGAATAAGTAAACTGTTGTAGTTTGCTTGTTTATATACATATTTTAATCAAATTTGGAAAATGCATTCATTTCATACTAAACTATTATCATAAAAAAAACCACCTTTTTACCCTCCCTGTTGCAGCAAACCTAAGTACTCGTTAAACTTTGATGATTCAAAACTGGACCCAGCTGTTCCGGATCATTGGGCTTTAAATAAATGGTCCTGGCTAATGAAACAGCTGATCTTAGTCAGTAACAAAGCTACACAGATCATCTCACACCATTCTATTATACACTCATATTTGGGTTAAAATACGCACCTAGGTGGCGTCCCCATATCAATTGATATTGATATTGATATATATTGAACTAATGTTATTTAAATAGGGAATAAATGTGATATTTTTACAGAAACATTTTAGCGTAAATCCAATCAGGCAAGTGGAAATTCGCTTAGTCTGCAGGTTTGCTGTGTCGGGGGTATTTTTAATTATAATTGACACTTTGTGATACATTAATTGGAGTATATACGAATGTTACTATCGTTTAAGCGATGTAATACAAGTTTACAGCTCAACATTTCAAATTTTGATTACATATTAAAAATTTGAACTCACGTATATTTTCCCCTTAGTAATTATGAAACATAATTTTGCAAACTTCAGTAGCAAAAAGGTTTTCTAAACATATACATCTTATAACAAAACTAATTTATTGGTATATCAACACTGATTGCAAGTCCTCTTCTCGATTTAAAGTGATTCTGATATTTTGATTATACTTTCATTATGTTTTGACTCTATTCCAGTGATATGAAACTAGCCTAGGCTGTTTCTGAATTAAGGTACTTTTTGGCATAACCTTTAGAATAGTAGCCTATCATTTACATATTTGTAATTACTAACAATTAATTATTTCGATAAGTTTAAGGGATTAATCCCCTAAAAGATATTATTATGTTTATTCTTATTTAATAATCTGTTTCTAATTTTCAAATTATTAATTAAATCGGGGCCAAACCTAAAGCAATGCGATTCATTTTTAATACATTTATACATTATTCTATTTTTAACAAATGTGTTGCTTAACAATTACCATAGGGTGTAAGGTAAGTTTACTGATGTTGATAAGTATAACTACCATTTAATGCAACAGAAAAAATTTATACTTTACGCATTATCGTTGGTTATGAATTAAGTATAAAAGAATCATTTTTTAAAGTCAATCTTTGCTCGCATTATTTAGTTGTCTTAGAAGTTCATACACATCTAAATCTACTGATTGATATTCCACCACAGCGTCTGAAATTTTCTTCTGTGGAAAAGCTGTTGTCCAAGCGACAATAATAATGAACTAGCGGCCGACCCTCAGAACAATGGACTCAGGAGGACGGGCAGCAGGTAGGCTGCCGAGCAGCCCAGCCCTACTAGGGGTAGCGTTTCAGGGGGGGACGATTCCGGGGTGTACATAGGGGATGCCTTGCCGGGGAAGACCTTTCCGTTTCTACTTGTTTGAATTAAAATTAATAACATAATTAGTTCATATCAACTAGATTTTGATAAATTACTTGTCAAGCCCTTGGGGGGGAACGATTCCGGTCGCGGACATAGATTTTATACCAGCTGGTTGTCTGGTTTCGTGACGTCACGTTTAGCCTGGGGGGTGATGTTTCCGGGGGCGACCATTCCGGCGACCCAGCGGGAGGATCGTGAGTGAGCGGGAGGAGCAAGGGTTGGCTTGGAGACCTCCCACATAACTCGTGGTTTACATTTAACACTCTATTATATGTTGTAACCTTAGCAGAATATGTTAACGTAATAATGTTTCAGTCTGTTCTATTCTTAGTTTAAAACGAAACTAACTAAATGTAAGTAGCATCTTCTCTCTTCATAGTCCGCAAAGTAAAATAAACTAAACTATTGGACTTGAAAAAATACACTTTTCTTACAATTTTGTGTCATATGTATGCTATTTTCATAGTGTACGTCTATTACTTCACTATTCCCACCACTTTTTCAGTTTGGGTTGATCTTTCAAACAGTCTGGTGCGTAAAACAGTTAAAATATTTGAAATATGTGAAATACTGCTCTCTGATTGGTCAAAATAAGCTAACATCCTATTGGTGGTAAATAAGTGTGCGCTATGCGGAGAACAAAGAATACAAGGGAGGAGCGGGGGGGGGGGCGCTTGGAGCGCAGGTGTTGGGGAGCAGCTGCGGCTGACAGTGAGTGATGGTGTAGGGAGGGTTGGCTTGGAGACCTCCCACGATGCGTAGGGTGGTTCCAGACAACAAAGGATGACCTTGAACCTGCCCGATGGTGGTAGGGGTTAGCGACGGGGGTGGGGGTGACGATGTGGGTGGCGTCGGGCGTGGAGGTGGCGTCGGGGTGGGGGTGGGGCGGTGTCGGGGGTGGGGGCGGCGTCGTGTGACGTCAGCCGCTCACTGCCGCTCAAGCCGCTCACTGTCGCAGGGGCGGCTAAAAACCCCTACTTACCCGTCCTTCGTACGGGGTTGGTATATAAGTATGAAATGCTTATTGTAGTTATACTCAAGCTTTGCGTTTGCAATGGGGGAGGACACAGTTTGATAAAATTTGCTTCTTTAAATTTACAGGATACTATAGTACACACCTACCATAGCCGTAATGTTCTACCACTTCACCTAAACAATAGAGAAAAAGAAATTATTAAAAATTCACAAAGTGTCATAAACTATTCATGAAATAAAAAACAAAAATAACTGTAAACAATCCTAATTTGACAGTTCTCATTGCGTATCACAGTTTTTTGTTAGTTCAAATTAGCTGTTTTCATAAATGTAAAAAAATAATATTGCTGCACCCTGTTGGTAAATCTTATAACTTTTTAATGTGTTTGCATACCATAGAACCAACTTTTTTTTTATTTGAAACACCTGACTAAATTCTTTAATTCCCTTTAAATATGAATACTCATGGGGAAACCACAGAGCCACTGGGGCGGAGCCAGAAAGGATTTTAGGGATAAGAATATGCTTATATGTTAATCGGGAATATGAGCTATCATCATGCCAAATTTCAGCCCAATCCGTCCAGTAGTTAATGCGTGATTAAACTTCAAACAAACAAACACACAAACTTTCACATTTATAATATTAGTAAGATTACAATTAGAAGTTTTAGACGAGCTGACGTCCAACTCTTAGTAAGAGATGTTTCTAAGCCGGTTTGGAAGTTAATGTAAACCAGAATGTTCTTTGATACCTTTGTGTTGTACGTGAACTTTAAATGACCTTTGAAATCACAGAGATCCCTTGTGGGAGTCGCTCTAAATGGTTCAGAATTTACCGCACAAATGTTGGTATATAATAATGAAGTTTTAATTAGTTAATTTTCTACATATTAAAATTACTAAACTGAGCCAACTATTTAACACATTCACTGCTAATGATATATTACTTTTATATTTGGCAAAAAAACAAAAACATAATCAGGTTTGTAGAGTGCTAATACATTTTTCATAGAATAAATTGTATCCTATAAATTAATTGTTAGTTAAAATACATTTTATTATACACATCATATATTTATATACCTACTGACATACTGATGACGCACATGTGATGACATACTGATGACAACACCCATTCATTATTTGTTTCATGCACATGATGGATTAGGTTAATCTTTTCACGACCTGATACACCAGGGTTCGTTTTATGAGACGAAGATGAGTTACGATGAGTATTGCGTGAATAGTTTAAACGCTTTGTCACTATGATCAGAGTGTCTTTAGCCATTATCACAAAACTGGAGTTTAGAACCATTGAAAAGCTTCTTATTCACAGGATCTCGGCCTTGTGTGCTATGCAAGCTCTTTACCCCAACTCAACTATTGTCAAATTAGATTCTAATACTGCTTGTGTCTATTTTACTGGTTTTGTCTCTAGGGGGAGTACCAGATGCGAGACGCCGCCATGACTATAGATCGTCTGCCTCCAATGCTGCCCCTTAGCTGCTACAAGCTCGTCGTATCCTTCTGGTCCGCGTCCGAGCCTACGGTAGTCTCATGTAACCGCTTCTACGTTAGAGTTACAGATGGCAAGGTGGCAAGCGCTGACAGATGTTTTAGCTAAATATATAATATTCAATCTTCCTTCGAAGTTTTTTCCCCATGTCAAAATTATTGTAAATACTAGTTAACGTCTCATAACATGTTTTTTTACTTCACGTAAGAAAATACTAAAAACATTTTGCGGAAAAAGCATTATGTATGTCAAGTGTCTAGGAATCATTTTACTTTTGACTTACTTCTTACTACCTAACGTCAATTATTTTTTAGAAAGCATAGTTAATTGACAAGTCAAAGACAAAAAATACCATCTGTGTCTAGAATATATCTTGTCAATTAAGAGTGGTTGTCTATATAAATAAAAGATAGTGCAGATAAAAAAAATTACATTGCTACATGTTTCCAAATACATGGCTGAGGGTCAATTTAAAATTTTACAGATTAAATGATTTTTAGTATCTAGGAAACGTATACAATGAAAATAAAAATACCACAACTTTTATATCCAGGCTGTTGTAGTGGAAACAGTTCTATAAAAAATTTAAGTGCCTAAGCATAAAGGACGCGACGCTTTAAGCAACTGAGGGTCAAGTCGTGATGGAATCAGCGTAGAGGTAAGTAATTTTCAAATCCTTCTTACATTTTAACAGCTTTACCAACCATCCCGAATAGTATCACTTAATGGTCATTACACATTTATGTGTTAAATAGAACTTACAAAACTGGGCGTTCTAACTCTTTTCGCTTAACACGTTTTAAATTAATGTTATTTTCAAAAGTTGACCATTACGTTTTTTAATATATTGACATTCATTCTATGAGACGAGACACAGAAATTATATCGATTACACTGTTATTTACCTCCAGTTCTTTGAAATGTAACCTTACTATGCAGAGATAAAGCATTAAAACATTTTGCCAGATAACCTCTAAATTTATAAAAATATCAGATAGGTACCGATCAATTTTAGAAACTATACTAAAAACTTGTTTTTATCACAACCGATTTGTCACTTAAGTACCATTTGAACCAATTAAATTGTTATTAAGTTCGGGGTGAAACTTTATATCAAATAATGTAATATATTTATCAAGCAAACATTTTTTTCACCGCATTCATTCTTTTAGTTTCGTGCCAGGAGTTGAAACCCCTATACTACTTTCATCGTCTTGGGTGTTGGTGGAAAACCCCTCTTGATCAACCTTATTTTTGAATTTATATACATATATTTACCGAATAGTTAAATACACTTAACTAAGTTTTTGATTGTTTTAAGGTTAAATGTTACCTACATCATTAGTCAATTTGTAATAATTTGCAAACTGTTAATATAATCGTCATAGGGGCCTATCAATTAAGTGTTATAAGTGTCCTGATTTCTAACAGCAACCAGTTATTAGTTTTTATTCCTTTCCACAAAGTTAAAATTCACAAGAGGCTCTAGCATTGACGGGCGCAATTTGTATTACCCTTATAGATCCACCCGACGATCAAGTAAGACCAACTTGGCCTTATGCGATCCTTAATTCCGCTGACCTTATGGCACAGTTAGTATATACACTCATTGAGGGCAGTCACATTCACTTTTACAGTATATATCGCTTTGTTTAAGCGATGGATGCCTGAAAGAACCCTAAGGTACGCCAAGTAGTTCCTCGATATGGACATGAAGTCATCCGTAAGCTAATTATATTGTTCCTAGCCTGACTCCCCGTGGGCTTAATTGGATTTGAATCCTACACTGTCTCCATTACGTTCTTGTAAAAGGTATTGTGAGTTGAAAATATAAAAATAAAAATGCAGCCAATTTATAGCTGCAATGTTTTGTGGTATCCTAGGATACATGTTTTCGTATGTGAAATAGTAAGTGAAATTTCAATAATAAGATTGAACGAATATTTAATCCTTTAAACACAGGACAGTAAAATAAATAACGCAAGACACTACAAGCTGCTGAGGGACGAGTCTCGGTGGAATCCGTGTGGAGGTGAGTACGTTTTGTAAATGGAAACTCTTCTCTTACTTTACATCAGATGTAATGGGACGTATATAGGAATGTTTTACCTTTAGTATTCTTACATGAAAGTTACAATTTGCAGTTATCAGTGAGTTTTGGATCTGGATAACACAGTCTGAGTACTAATGTTCATTGAAGGAATGGCATACGTGAGTAATGTACGTACTCCATAAAACATTCATAAACGTACAGCAAAGAGTGTAATATACTATTCAGATAATGCCAAATAGTAGCCTAGTTTAGTTAATTTTAAACGTTCTTATTTTAACCGCTAGTTGCACCAAAGGTACAACTTGCAGTTGTCAGAGATTTTACAATGATGTTATGGACAACACCAGTTGGACATAATGGACGTAAAAAGATTACCATTATATATGTAAACCATAAAACACATTATATATCGAGAACCTCAACATTGAAACGTGAAAATAATGTATTTTAAGGGCACAAAAACCATAATTATAGGATAGAGTGAAGTTGATGGACTATTAAATATTTTAGAATTAACTATGCAATGTTATTTAACCGATTTATGGAAATTACCTTTTTTTTATATGACATCAAATACAAATGTATACCAAACATTGATATACTGTAAATGTCTATCACTCAAAATAATTCTAAAAATAAGCACCAGAGAGTTCTGAATGCGTTTACAATTTTTCGTATTTGTGTGAGTGAATTTTGTACTGTAATTTTACCAATGACTTTTACTTAGAATATTTTAACTTAAAATATAATTATTTTTAGGCTTAAAACAAAATGCATTGGTTTTATACTATTGTAGGTAGTGGTGATACAATGTTTTGCATTATGATGCTGTTTTTACGTTAAATTTAGACGCACTCGTCAAATTTATGGGATAATAGGAAACTATTTCTAATTTTATTGTTTGTGTTTTGGGCAAACCGTTGGCATGAAAAAGCAGAGTGTGTGTACAAAGGAGGGAATACAGGCTGAAATGGAAGAACAAATAACCAAGATACGTACAGAATGAGAAAGCATTCGAATTGAAGTAACAGTGGGCCCCAAGTCCTGGTTGGGTACCAGGTTTGGTCAAGTTTGGAGGTAAGTCAGTTTTGGCAATACAATTATTTCTCCATTTTTAGTAGATTTCAATGTTAATGGTACATGTTATCGTTATAGATATATAATATTATCTCCGAAATTATCCGGCCTTGAAATATTTTGTCAGAAATCTCTAAAAACCCTAGTGTCAGCAATTGCCTGGAAACATACTGTACAAATTGAACTTCCAGCGATATAGAGATATCTTTGTGGGTCCAAGAGGCGAAAAACTGTAAAAAAGCCGCGGTATATTAACATGCGTGGTTTCGATATCTGTACATGTGCAATGCATATCTTCGGATGATCACAGATGCTGCTGCGATCGCGGGAGATGACTACAACGTTGCCGGAATCTTGCGAGGGGTGATTTTTCTGCGATCTTCGGATGATCACAGATGCTGCTGCGATCGTGGGAGATGACTACAACGTTGCCGTAATCTTGCGAGGGGGGATGTTGCTGCGATTTTCGGATGATCACAGATGCTGCTGCGATCGCGGGAGATGACTAGAACGTTGCCGTAATCTTGCGAGGGGGGATGTTGCTGCGATTTTCGGATGATCACAGATGCTGCTGCGATCGCGGGAGATGACTACAACGTTGCCGTAATCTTGCGAGGGGGGATGTTGCTGCGATCTTCGGATGATCACAGATGCTGCTGCGATCGCGGGAGATGACTACTAAAAAACTACTTTTTTGGGAGAAAACTACTTTTTTATTAGTACAATGTTTCTGTGAACTATATTTCGTTGGTTTCGAGTTTCAGTTTAGACGTATCTCTAAAGGAATTAGAATATATACAACGCAACTAGCTTGGACCCCACGGATGAATATTTACTCGTAATCGTGCCTACAACTTAGTCCCCGAAGAAGCGATATACCATTTGTACGTAAAGAACCTTGACACTAAGTTCGTAAAGGCATTATATAATATATTATCGAATACTGTAGATAGAAGTGGTCCTTTGAACATTTACTCAATTTTAAAGAATGAAGAGATTTTGGAAACATGTTATTCTTGATTTTCATTTTATTTTGACCCAAGGAATCACTACGTAAATTATCTCCCCAACATTTTTGAGCACCTTGTATAAATCACATGTTTACAAACATTACTGTACATTCCTATTATTGTATATCAGTCCAAATATAAGCACTAGATAGGTATGGAGCAACTTAAAATATTTCTTATTTCAATAATTTGTTACTTATTCTAAAAATAAATCAAATCACTAATGACTATTAATGGTTATGCGACATGATTTTTTTTTAACTACAAAAAATCATAACTAGGAATGGAGAGAATAATGAAACACTATCATTACTTTTCGATTGTTAAACCTAACTTAACAACCGAAATGCACTTAATAGAGCAAAAAATATGAAAGCTTGTTATTTTTGTAATTAATGTGAAGTACAATGTGCAGGGGTTTACAATGTTTACATTGCTGTAGTGGATACTTTGGTTTAGTTAAATTGCGTTTCGTTAGGTATAACCACTTTATTATATGACACAATTTTGCATTTTAACTTTACATTCTAATTTCTAAATTTGATTTTAGTTTGGGTTCCTCGTCTTTGGGAGACAGGCCAGATGGTGTGAAGAGAGAACCCTGATATCAAACAACAGATCAAGATAATTTCACAAGAATTATCGCCTACATATTATAGACTGCACTGATTTATTGATACGTTTAATTTACTGAAACATCAACATGGATGCAAAAAGCTACATACACAAAAATAAAACTCAACTTTTAAACACATAACAATTGAGTGTCACAATCTTTCTTACAATATTTATCCTTTCCTCGGTTATTATAATATAAGGATATATTAAAGCAGAAATCGTAAAAATCTACCCTATAATAGAAGATAAACCAGTAACACAGTCGTTACCAGTGCACTAAAGCTTGACGAAACACATCGAGATGGATTTAGGAATTTACAGTACTTATGAGGAGTCTCTACTTGCACTATATAGTTAACTAGCAAACCCGTCAAAAACATATTAGGCCTAAATATATTTATATATAATCATTTAATTTAGCTAAGCATGTGTGATTTACAAAGTTAAAACTAAGGGAAAACTTCTTCATTCACAACATTAACTGCCCTTCCACCAAGAGTTTCGGACTATTCACTCTGAAACTACATGCAAAATATGTTTTTGGTCAGGACTCATCATTTTGCAATTGCATGATTGTGACATTACCATTATCCTATATCTAGCTAGGAATGGACGGGATCAAAAACTTCTGATTCTCTCTTGAACACCAATTATAAATAGTTATTAAGTGATAGGAGAAGGCAGGAGCCACCCCTTCTAATCAAAGGTTAAACTCGTTAGCAAATAATTTGGTTCCTTTGAAATTGACATTCTGAACACATTAAATAATAAACTGTTTATTATTAAATTATAGAGAACACACAGATCTTAAAACCACAACATATTGCAATAGAGATATGGCAAAAGCATCTTAACTTTTCATTCATATACCCATAAAAAATGTGAAACACTTTTACAAGTCACAAAAGTAATGTAAATATTTTCATTTCGCCTAATAAAATATAACCAGATATTTCCAGATTCAAACGTACGGTATTCATGCGTTCAAATGTAAACAAATCTTTTTTCATAAGGATAACATAGGAACTACAGAGGCCACTGGGGCAGAGCCCTGTTGGAATTTCTTGGAAACGCTTCTTACTGAACATCTTGAACCTAATTAGAATCTCCATGGCAATTCCTGAGTTCTTATGATTAGTAGTTTTTGAGATACAGTGATCAGTGAGTCAGTGAATATTATTTGACTTTTATAATATAGTCAATAGAGAAAAGGATGAAAATTGTGTGTGCAAATTTCCGTCTACGACTACGAGGGAACATAACTTTCAATACTAAAATGTGGCTGGAAACTTGCTGTTTAAATTAAAATAACATTGTTCCCTCGTTGTCTTTTCCGATCGCTATAATGAGCTACATGTTAATCTTATTCTTATAATCAAAGCCTATTTTTGCCGGACAGTTCTTTTCCAATCGGTTTTAGTAAGTTATAAACAAGACGCAACAGCTGACTTTTGTTGTTGTCAAATCATTGGTACCATGTAGTACGGTGCGACACACGGGAGGGACTAAGGCTAACATATCTTGTAGGGTTAGCGTTCGCCACTAGAACCGCTAAGTTGAAAAAATTAATAACTTTTTAATTATAAAATATTGTTTTAAAATTATAAAATAAATGTTTAGTTTTTAAAATAAAACTGTCATAACATAACCTAACCAACCAGTGATAATATAAAAACTGTATAAGATAAAAATCTAATTAATGATTACTTATAATTTTTAATTAATTATTAAATTAATTTTAAAATTTAGTATTATAAAATTAAACTGTCATAACCTAACCTAACCAACCAAACTTGCTGATATAAAAATTTTTTGACAAAAGTTAATGCTACCAGCGGGATTCGAACCCGGAACATCTTGAACACCAAACCGATACGCTACTATCTATGCCACGAACGCCGCTGAAAACTCATTGTTTCGTTACGGTAATCGTGTTGCCTCAAGAGTAGACATTAGCCACTAGAGATATGACGTCACTACACCTTTAGCCTTAGTCCCTCCCGTGTGCCCATTCCCCATGCGGTATATTATGTTATTATTGTAACAGTTAACCTCTCATTGATTTCACACGTAGACACGTACAAGTAAAGTATATTATGGCATTGTGTTTTCGTGATTTCTACAAAAATGGTTAGTGGAAGTTGAATTATATTGAAAAAAAGACTCTAAGAAATCTTTTTAAAGCTTATGGTATAGGCTTATAGTGTTTGTTACATAAAATATGTACGGTAAGTAGTAAAATAATGAATAGGCGTAGTGTTTTTAATGAAACAAACTTTGATTCTAGGATGAAATTTGTTTCTTGGTTTGTAGTCATATGACTTGGTTGTAGTATGACGAAAAATACCGTCAAATACTCGTCCGAAAAGCTCTTTGCCAGTGTTTGATCTACATTCCGGGCTCGACTTCGTCTAGCACGTAAACACGTTCTTGCACTGGCAAAGAGCATATTTCCGGACTAGTAACAAAATATATACTATTTACGATTACTTAATCGTAAATTAGACTACATAATTGGAGGTTATAACAAGTCAAATCAATGTTTACATTTCTCTTGTTTACAAACATAACTTAAAAGATCGTGTGATTAGTAGCGTTTTCATAATTTGTTTTTCAAATGTGTTTTAAAGGGATTAGAATGGATGTTTAGCTTTTTTTTATTCGACAACTTATTTGCAAAGGATACATTGTGACACAATACAGAAATCTTATCGGCAAAATCGATAATTTAATAGAATAGGATAGATTTAATAGAATAACTATGCTTACACTATTCAAGGACAGTAGAGAAAACAACAAAATAATGTATAATTATGTTTAAGGTCAAAGTAGAAAAACACCATAACTAAACCTATACACTATAAATGAGTTTATAACAAACATTTGTGACATTGACTTTCCTCTAGGATAAGTAAGATAAGTCGATCTAGCATCTCTAGACTGCTTTAGGTTTAAATCAGCTGTTGACAGTAATAGGAAAATATCACCAATACTTGAACCAATAGAGGAGGAGTGGAGCCAAGGGACTTTGTGTTAACTTAAGCCTCTCGTATTGTAAGGGTTGGTCATCTTGACTTCGTCAACAATATTGTAAACTTTTTCAATTACTGTTAAAGTCTGCCGATTAAAACCAAATAAATGATACGTAAACAAATTCCATTTTACATTTTTATTTTGCGTTTAACACCATTGAATTTTGCAGAGTTTTTATAAGAGACAGTCCAAACGCTGGTCTTACAGTTACAATCCTACCTTTTGATATAAGGCTCTTATCAATAGTCATTTGGGTCTAGAAACAATCCCACGGGTGGTCGAACCGGCAACCTTCAGATTTGAGTGAACACTTTCCCCCCACAACTATTGATACAATTGAATAAATTGTTGCTGAAATGCTCGCTAAAGGAATTTTAAAACTACAAGAATCACTATTGCGAGACGGGAACGCGAAAAAATAACGCTGGAATGAAAGATGAGTCAAGTGCCATGTTTAACTTTCTAATAAGAACACTTCTTTATTAAAAAATGCAATGATAAAGAGCAGGTGGGCCCCAAGATTTGAACCATCAAAAGACTACTCACTTTTGACAGGATCGAACCGGTGACCTTCTGATATTGCTAGTAGGCTACTTTAACCTCTCAGCTACTTAGCTGTTAGTCTAAGCTGATTACCCGTTGTACACTTTACAACCCCCTCCCCCAAAACAATCTAACCCTTATGTCTATCCTCCTAAATAACATACGAATAGGCAAATCAAACTTCAGGAATAATTGCAATGGAATTACGGTGGATATAGACTAGAAGAGGGTCAATAAGTCATCATCAGGTGGTCGCCGGGGGAGGGGCGCGCGCGTGCGTGCGAGAGGGCGGCGTCCAGTGGCGTCGTGGCGCGGACCAGTGTGTGTGTAAGACGCCGGGATGACAGGAGGTGGCCGTCCCGACGTCCAAGTGAGTAGACTATGCATGCACCGTCCACGATCACATCTCTATCCAGGTCCTTGGAGGAATTAATACAATCAGCTGATTGTGGTTTTTTTTAAATGTAAATGCTCGTCAGCTGATTCAATGTAAATAATAGATTTAGGCTATAACCTTTGTTTTGAATAAAATTATGAATTTAATTGCGTTACCTATGTTTCAAAATGTTTTAGAACAAAATTAAGGTAGTTGAATTCTGTCTTTACAGCGTGTGCTGTTAAAATCTGATTTCTGTTGTATTCACATACTTTTACTAAACTAATTTGAAAAGTACTGATTGTTAACTTTAGAATCTTCTTGTCACCTCTAATATCACATAATAGGAAATTAAGGAGATAATATAGATTGTAGTAAATCCTGTAAGGGGGTTATGGTTGTTAAATGAGTGTTCTATTTGAATAGGAAATTTCGATCAGTTGGTCCATACAGAAGGAATGGACCTTGGTGTATAAAGTTCAGTGCTAAAACACAGTGAAAGAAAATAATTATAGTTTGCTAATCGAATCATTTTGGAAGGTGGATTATATTGAAAATGTAACAGGTTAAGGATGTTAAATAAGTGTGGAATATACTAGACTAGAGGATACGGTCACCGTGAAACAGAAACTAAGTGTCGAGCCCAAGATAGTTAAGTATAAAATAAAAACACAAAATTTCCATTGAGGACAAATTTCTACATAATTCATGATAATAATCTGAATAAAATTCTGAGTGATATTGTGTCTATTAGCAGAGGTCGACGTTGTCATAGGTGATGGTTAGCCTCCTAATATCTGATAAGAACATCTGATCGCCTTGACCTATAAGTAATCTCGTTGTTGCCACTCGTCCACTGTCTGGCGAGTTTTAACCTTCAATTTCGAGCAATATACCTATCAACTCATTATTGTTTCCGTTTTATTCGCAGTAGTCGCAAAATTGGGGTTCGGCTCACAATCATTACAAGTTTTAAGGTTATACTGTAGATACCAATTCTTGTCATATTCCTTATCTATAATCTAACAGTGGAGTCTTAAGTGTTCTGTAAAATCATTAGCCTATAATATTTAGCCTATTTTCTTCCCATCACGTGTTCTAATAGATTATTAGCAAATCACTTCCCTACAAGACAGTGAGTGTTTTGGGTACGGATATTCAGCTGAGGGCCATAGGTGTACTGACCAAGACCAGCTTTTAATTTAGAAAGACTTTTTTTAAATCGAATGGCCAAGGACAGTTATAGTTTGAAATAGTATCAAGCTACTTACTTTTCTCAATACTGAACAATTAGTTGCATTTAAGAGAAGGTGTTAGAAAATCGTATAAATTTATATAAAACCGAAACTTCTTTCTTTCATTTTATTTGTTGATACATTAGTTAAATTTAAACGTTTTTCTTGTTGAACAAAAAGAGCAAATTTTTACAGGTTGTACATTCTAAATATTTGAAAATACAGTATATTCTAACTGGTTTTAATGCTAGTTTAGATACCATTGTGTGACTAGACCAGTTATATTAAATCTAGGCCGATAAGAATCAAAATTGTAAAAGTATGATATAATTCAAAATTTGAAAATTGTTTTGCATTTCATTTATGTGGTTGTTTGCCCTTGGATGCTAGGCCGAGCCCGGGATTGTTTTTCCACATTACATCAGGCTAGACCTAGGGGTTGCGGCATTATCACTTAGATAAAATCCATTGGTGATTTGGCAGGATTTGAACCCGGGACCTCTTGGACCGTAGTCTCGTCCTCTAACCACTAGACGCAATGGTTCAATATGTGGTTATGAAATACGGGTGGCGTCGTCCTGTAATCCAGCTACTAGGAGGTCACGAATTGTGGACATTTATAGGGATGCACTGTGGATGCGATGCTCCCTGGTGTGGATTAACGTCCACGCTAGTGAGTACTACGACTATCCGCAGTACTATCCTAATAATTAGACCAATTCGTTAATTACAAGGAAAAATGTGGTTCGGATTCCACAATAAACTGTAAATCCCTTAGTTGCCATTAGCTGTATGGCCTATTAATTAACAACTGTGTCTAAGGAACATGTCGGCCTTAGTCACTAACAAGACCACAAGATCGCGCCACTCATCCTTCACTCATATTTCGGTTAAAATACGCACATAGTGGCGTCCCCATCTTAAATAATTGATAATTGATAATTTACAGTAATTTATTTCAGTATCCCTATGGATTTTGTCATATAAAAACAATTACTTTCATTTCAACAGCAACATGAACATTGAGGTGTTGAAGAGTACTATATTGTGTGGAGAGAACCGTCTCCAGCCCGCAAAATTTCCAAATGAAACGTCACAAGAATTCAAAACAATGTTATAAAAATACCACCACACATTTTGTAAAACTGTCAACTCTGGAGCGCACGTTTAAATCTCTTTCTTTATTAATAGTCCAGGCAACGAAAGGATATAGAGGGAAATTTTTGGAACACAATTTCTGACTTCGTAACTTTGTTTAGTATAGTTAGGAGGTTAACATACCAAAAGTCCCCGCCTCTAGCCCTTGTGCTGTGGGGGAGGGGGGGGCTTGAAGGTACCATTTTTCGGTTTTTTGCTAATATCTCGGAAACCATGCGTCCAAGCGAAATTATGCTATTATACAAAATGAAAGCTTATTAAATTTCCAGCAAGTTTGTAATTTACCATTTTTTGATATCTTGTATAGTTGTTGTGTTATTTGCTATCAAAAGTTTGTAAATTTGGAAAAATACATTTTTTCTCATGTTTTTTGTTCTTTTTGACAAGTTGCCTCTCAGACTATGCACCCAAAAAATAAATGCTGGGATAGGGGTGTAGAGAATTAAATTCCCTTCAATAATATATATGACTTTACTAGTTTACCTCCTTCCGTTCAGATTTTAAATCAAATTAACCGTCAGTATAAAAAAAATTAAATTTAATTAAAATTTAAGAAAATTAAAATCTAGTGTTGAGCAAGGAATTTGAAGTCTTGCAACAGCTGTTGACTACTTAATATTTCAGTTTATCACCTTACAAAGTCAAATAATTGGTTGGTATATTCACTATCATGTATCTAAGGTAAGTGATGGGCGTCTAAAAATAGCACAGATACACTATAGAAAATATATACTTGTGGGCTGCCTAACCAGCTTCCTCACACTTGATGATCTAGCTAGACTATTGTAATGGGAAAATATGGTGCTATAACCATGTTTAGGCATATAAGAGTGTCTATATGACACTGGAAACCAATCACAACCATAAAATTGAAACCAAGACAATTGACATGTTTAAGTAGGAATTAACTTAAAACATTACATTAGTGAATAGCCTTAGCCTACTATTGAATCAATTCAGCCTTGCTATCTTAGTTTGGAAAGGACTACCATCCTCATAATCGTTTTTATCCTCAATTCTCTAAGAAAGAAGGTAAGGGACATCTTTTTCTGGGCCCAATAAACTATCTTAACAAGGATTAGATGATATTTTGAACGCGATTCTACTGGATGTGACAAAAAATCTTCAGCATTTGAGAAAAGCAAAGTTGCTTATGCGAAGTTGTATCTGAATTCCCCAGTGGCCCAAAATGCACAATCGGTCTTTCACACCCCCTCTCCAACACCACCCAAATACAAAAGATAGGGAAAATGTACATCTTTATTTGATATGGGCTTCAGCGAGAGAGGTATCGTGCACTTCAACTTCAATTCATACAGGTAGAAGTCAATTTTTGAATCGATGGTCTCCATCAAGCCTAATATCTCTTGTCTTCCTCCGACTGATGGTGCTTTCAAACATCGTTTCCTATCATGTACATTCTGAAAGGTTCAGCTGTGGCTGGGAAATAACCTGCCTTCTCTTATGTAAGAGTGGAAAAGAATAATAAAAACTCTGTAGTAACAGAGTACACTCAGCATGAAACTACACTGAAGGATATCCTCAAAATTGTTTTCTGCCTATGCACATAAAACTGTACTCGTGCAAAATCAGGTAGCAAAAAAGCAAGCCTAAAATAAGTATGCCAAAAATTTCAAAATGTTGTCCCTGGGAAAGATGACTAAGAATATGAAGAAAAACAGTATACCTGGAGAAAAAAATATAAAAATTATGAGGATGGTAGTCCTTATTAAACTAAGATAGCAAGGGATAGAACGGTAGGCTACTTACTGATGTAATTTTTTATATTAATTAATTCAAATATGTAATTATTTATCTTTGTTAAAATTGAATGGTTGAGATTGGTTTTCAGTGTCATATAGACACTTTTATATGCATTAACATGGTTATAACACCATATTTTCCCATTACAATAGACTAGCTAGATCATCAAGTGTGAGGAAGCTGGTTAGGCAGCCCACAAGTATATATTTTCTATAGGGTATCTGTGCCATTTTTAGACGCCCATCACTTACCTTAGATACATGATAGTGAATATACCAACCAATTATTTGACTTTGTAAGGTGATAAACTAAAATATTAAGTAGTCAACAGCTGTTGCAAGACTTCAAATTCCTTGCTCAACACTAGATTTTAATTTTCTTAAATTTTAATTAAATTTAATTTTTTTTTTCTGACGGTTAATTTGATTTAAAATCTGAACGGAAGGAGGTAAACTAGTAAAGTCATATATATTATTGAAGGGAATTTAATTCTCTACACCCCTATCCCAGCATTTATTTTTTGGGTGCATAGTCTGAGAGGCAACTTGTCAAAAAGAACAAAAAACATGAGAAAAAATGTATTTTTCCAAATTTACAAACTTTTGATAGCAAATAACACAACAACTATACAAGATATCAAAAAATGGTAAATTACAAACTTGCTGGAAATTTAATAAGCTTTCATTTTGTATAATAGCATAATTTCGCTTGGACGCATGGTTTCCGAGATATTAGCAAAAAACCGAAAAATGGTACCTTCAAGCCCCCCCCTCCCCCACAGCACAAGGGCTAGAGGCGGGGACTTTTGGTATGTTAACCTCCTAACTATACTAAACAAAGTTACGAAGTCAGAAATTGTGTTCCAAACATTTCCCTCTATACCCTTTTTTTAGCATTCGTTGCCTGGACTATAAAGCAAGCGTGTCCAGAACAATTTGGCGTTTTAGTAGACTGGCGCTTTGCCTGAAATTTATTACACCTGTCATGAGGTTTTTAGGACATCTCAGTCGCGGTTGTTGTATTTCTTACGACGTTTGATTAGTCTGCTTTTATCTTTTTTATATGTTTTAATTTATGTTACAACAGAAATGAATTAATATAAAGCTTTAAATATATCACTTAGCCTTTTCTTTGGTATTTGGCATTTTTCGTATACGGGTATTATAATTCTTTTATTGTTTCACAACAGAAGTTCAAAATGTCAATTATTGTATTTTAAAGTTATGTCACTTGGCATGATTATGTATTTTTTATCTCATACAGTTTTGTGTAAATAAATAATTCACACTGTAAATTAATAAAAAATCCTTCTGAAATTCTGAAGGAGAACCATGTGGTTAAAGTTCGACTGTTATTACACAACAACAAAATCCAATCTTGGAAATTGCTATCCAATATTTGGTTATCGTGTACAACAATATTTACCTTTTATTGTTAAGCATATCTCATTCTTGAATTTACCTGATTAAGTATGTTATTAGTTTATTCCGTGGAACAAAATTATGAAGAAAATAAATTTTACTGTGTAGTTTTGTATTTAATTACACTAAAGTCAATGATCATTGAAAAAAATATTCAAAGATCAATAATTTCTAATATTTGAATAATAGTTTGAACTAGGCAACCATTATTTTTTTTCAATCATTTCACTTCATTTTCAAATCATTTTAAGAATGGGTTGGTTTATTTCGAATTATAACAAAGAAATTAAATTTTAATTTTGTGAGTTAAGAAAAATAACGCAATACGGGCCAACAATATGTTTCTTTTCCTCTTTTAATTTTCGACCTCGGTTTTGCCTCTATTGTTGAACTCATGACGAAATGTACTATTTTACCATATAACATGATCAATGGCATTTTTATTTATAAGAAAGTAATGGAGAATTATTAGTTATAGTCGAGCACATCTTACATGAATAAAAAGTTGATTGTAAAATAACCAAAAGTGAAGAGAATGAGTTATCGATTTTGGTTTATTTTTGTAGGATGGTTAGTGGTGTCCTTACTTTGAATATGGAATTCAATATGATCGTAACATACCAAACTGTTATACCTGAGTTATTGGGAGTTTCTCTTATAGGCTTAATAATATAAACAAATAGGATAACTAATGAAGGTTAACTATGTACAACATTTTTGTTTTGTAAATTAGTTATAGGCCTATATAATAACACATTACTACGAAAAACATAGTTTATAAACCGAGTTAAAAATGTCTTATCAACACTAACTCATCATCAAAAAATATTCTTGAACTCGTTTCGACAAGGGTCACTTTAGACCAACAAAATTATAACATATTCGTTGTTAAAAACAATGATAAATAGTTCACAGGTACTAGACAATACAACTTTATTAGTAATCTTAGAAAAATTATTGTTGGCTGAACAATATTCTAGATGTTAATTGTTTTACTTTTAAGATATTTAAAATTATTGTAAGCATGTGAAACGCTGAAACAGGACGGCTTTTCCATTAGAGTGATGTAATTAACTTTAGTTTTAGTACTTCCATTATCTCTAAAAGTTGTTTATATCTAATGCAGTTACAGCATCCTTCTTCATTCATTTTTTATTACTGTCATTTAGTTGCTTTGAGTTTTAAAGTTGTGGAGGATAAATATTTTAATATGAGGTGAACACAAATTGTATTTTGTCATAACATTATTTTCGAAAAGAGATCTGAATACGTAGATGTCTTGGGTTCGTGTCCTGGTGCTAGTTATCGGTATAGTAAGTTAACTGTACCAGCTCACCACTAGTTGAGCGAAGCTCACTTCCCCTCACTTTGTAACTTCTTTGTAAGAGCATCAGAATGTAATTGCTTGACCAATTGATATGAAATTTGGCCAACAGCTAAAGAATACTGAGCACAATGTTTTGGTAAAAAATATTTGCGAATTTCCTTCTGGATTTTATTTTACGGGTCACGCAATTTTGTCTTGTTATATTAATGTAAGTTGAAAGAAAAATTATATTGGGCTTATGACATATGGGTTTATCTCGTTTCATTTAAATAAGATAAACATATGTTAATTGTTTGTAACTGTTTTGTTTACATTTCAATGTTTACTTTCATCCTAGGTTAAAGTTGGAATGTAACAGTTTATCAATGGAAGTAACAGTTTTGCTATATTTGTTTTGAGCATGCCTCAAAGGCCCAACGTAATATTGGTCGTCGCACCAATAATGCAAATATTGTAAGAGAGTGGCGTAGTGAACAAGAAGAACCAGATGAAGCAGTGGCGGAAGAAGCTGATAATGATAGGCAGTTAGCTAATCAATTCCAACATGAATTAGATGCACAAAAATTTTACACTTGCATTAACTGTCATCGGCAACAACTAACAGCTTCAAACCAATCACCGATTTGTTCGCGTTGTCGTTCAAATGCAACTAAATTCACGGCGTTAAATAATATGGATGTGTCAAGTGTCCCGAACGAATTAACTGACCTGACGATTGTAGAACAAATGTTGATTGCACGAGTACATCCTGCTATGCCCATTTACAAAGTACAAGCAAATGGTCAGGATGGCCAGTTTCACTACAAAGGTACAGTATGAACTATCAGATAAATATGTCATTCTTTAGAACTTAAATAATATCGGGCAAACAAACGGTGAATCTGTTGAAAGGGAACATATTGTAGGGTGTTAGCTGCTTTAGCCATTGACAATCTTTAAATAATGCTTCGCTCATTTATGCGTCTAAAGTGTAACGGCAGACCACCCTAGTTTACAAAATACGTCTCCAGCTCATGCGTGAGGCACATGAGCACGGGTAAAACAAATTCCTATAGAATTTAAAGATAAATATGCTTACAATACGTATACAATTCATAAACAGACACTTCAATGCAACATGTTTTAGTGTATCGGAACAATATACGATTTAGAATCTGAAGTAAGTGTCCTAGATTTTATAAACAGCCAGGAAACATTTGCAGCTGTGAGTTGGATTCAATCTTATCAAATCAAATCGCATCCCTACAATTCAATTCTGATATTTCATTTCATATAAACAAAGTATAGTTTAAAAGTCGGTAATCTATATAAAAAGGCGACAACAGCACACTTTTTCGATGGCTTAATACAAAAACGTTCATTTTTATTTTTAAATGTTCACAACTTCCCATTTTGATTAAATTTGGTATGTGGGTACTAATCTTTGGAATGAGTTTTATTTACCTATTTATTTTTTTTATTAATAATGGCAATTTTTCTATAAAACGGGATTTAAAAAAATAACAGCCCGATCGATTTTAATTAATGTTTAGTATGAAACAGCCTGTTTTTTCTAAACGAACTGGTACAACCCCCATTGCTGTAAACTTTGCGGTTCATAGCTATTTCAACTATTGTGATTTTTCAATAAAAACCTATAATATTATAACAGAACATTTGGATAAGAAAATCGCTAGACCAATTTTTATTAAAATTTATATGATATAGTCCTTCTAACTCTAAACAAAATGGTCCCCTTTTGCTGTAAAAATACGGTGGCAAAGCTATTGCAACGTTGTGACTTTCCCCATAAAATATCATAGTCACTCCCACCGCTTACCCATGATAAGTGTTGTTGACAAGCTAATGGGAGAAAATATTACTGTGTCAGATTTCTGACTAATTTATTTGATTCCGTTATTTCAAAATTAATGTAGAGTCAAACAAATATTGTTTATAACATGGATAAAAAGTATCTTGCTTCTCTTGCTCATTGTCCAACATTGTCTTAACTTCTGTCGTACAACTTAAGAAAAGATTTACTATAGGCCTCACCGATTAAATATACTTTTGAACAGTAGATTTTGTATTATCAAATAAGTAATTGTATCCAAACGGATGTTTTATAACTTGTATTTTTCAGGAGAGGGATGAAAGGAGAAGGTACAATATTGCAACACCCGTCGCCTAAAGACCTAAAGGTAAGGAACTCATTATGTATGAAAATATAAAGTTTATTGAATAGGTAGTGAATTATTTTAATTTACTTCAAGACGGCAATATAAGTTTTGTTAAGTAGTTTTGCTTGTAAAGATTATGTAAATAAATAAAGTAAACCCCGATTTTTTGTAATGCGTTGATCTTTGTTTGGCTACGTATGGGTAAAAGTGACAAATTTCTCACACAAATTAGAATATCCCACTGTCTCCGAAATCTGTTTTTCGTAAAACAAAATTTTCTAAGTTGGAATGTTCATTCCTACCTGATGTTATTTGTATGGCTCCGGTGGGATGTCTTCTAGTACAATATTTTCTTTCATCGTCATTCGAATCTCAAATCTGAAAGTTTTATTTGTGATAGTGAAATATAATAATTGATTTATATAGTCTCAGTAGATGTGTGTTTCTTTAGCCTGGATGGACTCTTTACTAATTGTTTTCATTATTTGGATCCCCAACGAAGTAGGGAGTTGCCAGCTAGTCTTTCTCTAATGTAGTTTAGTCATAGGAAGGAGTTGAGAGTTTATCTAATGATCGGATGGGAATACTCGAGCGGGGTCAGGTTAATGGAATGACAAGCAAAGCTACTCTGGAGAGTTTCCTTTATTGTCTTGACTGGTTTGTAGCTTAGTCTCAGCTCACCAACTTCGGAGAGCTCAACTTCGGTGTGCCGATGTATAATTCAAATTCGAAAAAGGCTCGGGCTGCAAAACAATAATTTAATATCGTTGTTTTAGCAAAACACAGAATGATAGCTGTAGGAATATTGTCCTCTTTATTTTATAAGTTTGATGCATTTGCGTATTTTGATTTGATTAAATGGTAGTTAATATAAGAGAAGTACAGATGAACGGAAATTATTTATGCCACGATAAAGGGCATGTCATAAATACCCCCATTACAGCAAACCTAAGCGAATTTCCATTTGCCTGAATTGGTTTTCATTTAAATATATTTAAATAACTTTAGGTTGAATAAGTACCTAGGTTTTCTGCTACAGGGAAGCTAATAAAGTGCGTTTCTAGTAAAATATTAATAGCTTATTATAAAATAAATAAAGATGTCAGTTTTGATCAAAATATATCCATAAACAAGCTAACTACAAAAATTTTAGAATATTCTCCATAACAATAACATAGGAATTCTAAATTTAATTTTTTTTTTAACCAATAACCGTACAAACATCCTTTATATAGGCTACTAAATTATTTGTTCTCCCCATTAATCCTGCCACCTATAGCCAACATTTTATTAAATTTAAAATATTCGAATAATCCACACATATTATAGAGTGTCACTGTCAAAATTATACTTTCTCTTTCTTAGCTATTGATGCTAATGATAGTTTACATGAAATAAAAGATGCCACAGTTGCATCCTACGATGTACATGGACTTACAACATGATGTGGCTGGCTTTTTTAAAAGTTGACGATTACAATAAATATCAATGCCTAACAGTGCACTCTGTCGAAGGTCCAATTTAAACTACATTTATTTCTAACATCTTTAAAATGGTAATGGAAATAAAAATTCTATCCATAGACATGGATAATACTTCCTCTTTTAGCCATACTTTGAAAAAATGAAGGAAACATAAAATACAGTACACCAATTTAAATAATGAAGTGCATAGCATAGCCTGTGTGGCTGGTATCATCTTATAGGGAGTATGAAAACTATTATTGAACAAATTAAAACAATTTATAGTTTCTACGATCTGAACACATCAAATAAATAGTACTTTTGTCTATGATAGTACGTAGTAAGATTTTAGTGCCAATAATGTTACCGTATCTTAACGAATGGAATACTGATTTAATCATGTTGTACGTGCGATCTTTAACAGTTTTCTTTGTGAGTTACTTTATCAGTATTCTATTTCTGATGCTTCGTGGTAATCTACCCACAGCACATGGCTGCTTAAAATAAACAATAATACAAACACGCAGTTAGCTTGTTTTCTCACTTGATAAATTGCTGGATAAAATGTATTTTTAAATATAACCTTGATACTAAAACTGTCCTTGGATTGAATAACACATAAAGAGCGTTTACTACTACAACTAGTCAATCTAAAGGTATTTCAAGCACCTCTAAACATACAGCGAGCGTATAGGCCTATTTAAGTTTTTAATTTTATAAAATGATAAACCAACTGATATATAGAAAACAATTTAATTGTTACTTCGCATGTAAATTAAAAGAGAATCGACTAAAGGGAAATGTCAATTTAAATACATTGGTATATTAAAATAAAGCAGTAATTTAAAGCATTCGCCAAGAAGTACCTGTTAGCACAGACTGACTGATGGAGAACCTGTTGATTTTGGCAAGGTTCCAGCTTAGAGACACGGTTAAAGTCAGCTGTTTAAGCCCTTACGTCACTGGAATATTTGGAATTTTCTCAGTTGACATTAACTTGGATATAAATTTTTTCCATGTTGTTTTGCGGTATAGATGCACTCCGGTAATAATCAACCAGTGTGTTTTGCCGAGTTGTACTCCGCAAAGAGACATTTTGCTCAAGAGAGAGTTTCTCCCAGAACCACTTATCTTTAAGATGTTTAACCTAATAGAAATGAAAGCTTTGAAGACTAATTCTATATTATACTTCCTACTGTGCTGATTAGCTAAAGCGTACTAAAGTTGCTGAAAAATATTATTTTTTTAAACATTCCAAAACAACATTTAAACAGCGGTATAGGGATGTAGACTTCATAATTTATGTACATAATCTGTTTGAGTAGGGTTAATACTGTAGATTGTGCTTCCCTTAAAAGCGCGTTCGTCAATTAATAAGGAACGTGGTAAATACTGTTAGTTGGTCTTGAAACGAATCACCACAAGTATGACAACAAGACTATTGTACTTAGTATTACCATGCTGTTAGTTTTCCGGGACCATTGTACTAGAGCGCTGGGCTTGGTTTGAATAACACTAATCACTAATAATATGAAACTGAATGATTCGGACGCAATCCGGTTTTTAGATTACATTTTTAGCGGGTGAGTTTCTTAAGCTCTAATGATTTTTATGCTTATGACGACGAGAACTGTACCCCTTTTTGAAACCTTCCTCTCCAAAAGCACATGTTCAATGGTTTCAGAGTGATTATAGAATTATTAAGTATTAAGATCAGATATAAAATACTCAAGAAATTACAAATTTCTTATGAAATTAAAAACGATCTCAAAGAAGCTTCATCGATCAAAGGGAAACAGTTTTCCAATAGTTACCTAACATTATTAGGAATAATAGCAGCTAAGTAGTGAAATTTGATAAAGTTCTACAGAGTAAACCCTGATAGATAGAAGGTAATGAAATTCTTTTCCGACTTCAACTTTTGGCTTGGATCTTATAACATAGATTAGCGTTACATTTGCCTTTATTATATTTTTGCTTTAGAAAAGGAGTTAAACTACTTTACGAGACTTATGGAGACGCTTCTTTTAATAGTTTTAGAAAAACAATTTAAACCCGAAATAAATGTGCATTTATCATTATTAACTCATGTAACACGATCTAAAAATCCCCAAAATCCCAATAATGAAAGAACTCTCTCTTTCTGCAGCACTCTGATTGGTCAATCGGTAGCCTCTATCACATAATCATTATTGACGTAGATAACGCAAAATCAAAATCACGTTTATATCCCTGAAATCCCAAATATGGGAAAAATTCCCGCACTATTGAACACCGGTTGGCTCCAGGTTGCCTCAATTGTGAACCACTAACACACCATCAGTATCGTGAAGACAAGCTCGAACTACAATAATATATCATTCTAATAAATCCCTGAAATCCCAAATATGGGAAGAATTCCCTGCTGCAGGACTCTGCTTGACTCAACCGGTAGCCACTATCACACTATCAGTATTGACCCGTTGCCAAGACAACGCGCGTCCAACATCTGTTTTGACGGAAAACGGTTTAAAATCTAAACTCTGATTAACTGTTGCAATACTGTAGAATTGGATACAGTGGAACCTGGATAGGAAGACCCTCGATAGCAAGTGGCCCTTGATAACAAGAATTTGGGTACCCATTATTTTATACTACCCTTATGTACATGTTATTGAAAACTTCGATAAGAAGTCAACCTTGATTATGCGTCTTATTTGATCATACCCATGAGAGTTTTTTAGCGAAGCTCTTTGAGACCGGACCTTGTGCAAACTATGTAATCAACTAAATTAATAATGGCTAACATAATTTAATCCAAACATTCTAGGTTTATTTTGACAAACAATGTTATTAAACAAACAAATTCAAGTTGATAATGTCTATACAATTTAAAACCAACATAATGTTTTTTTCCTACAGTTACCTAACAATGTACATGTTCTCTCACTGATTTAAGAAAGCAAAGTGGCCAATTCGCTCATCAGTGAGAACATTGTCTCACTCTAATTACTTTGTCTCACTCCAGATTTGCAACGTGAAGGCACGAAATAGTGAGCGCGTAACATGCAGGCAACGTCGTATGCGCGCGAAATTCGTTGGCAGCACTGGCTGTAAATCAGCTGGTCAGCTGTTGTACTGTTGTATTTGTCACTTCACATTAAATTTTATATTAAAAGTTCACTTCGGTGTAAAAATAGGTTATGTTTCTTCACCAATTTATTTGTTTTGTGGTTACTGTAGGAAAAGTATAATGTGCAACTCGAGTTCAAAGTACAATTGCCTCACTCGAGAAACCATTCCTCACTCGCCTACGGCTCGTGAGTAAGGATTTCTCTCGAGTGAGTCAATTGCTCACTTTTCTCACTAGTTGCACAAATAACTATAGCATTAGCCTTTTGAGTTTCCATTATGGTACGAGATAACAACGTGGATGTAAACAATGAATCATGGTATATGATGTTTGTTAGGTTATTAGCAAACTAATACAATCTAAATACAGCACAAAGAAAAATCCACTCAGGTGACAACCTTTGATCAAATAATACAGAGCAATTATAACAGGGCATTTGGAAACAA